CACACATGCACACACTCATGAATGTGCAAACACAGGAAAAGAGATGTCACTGAAACAGACTAAACAAAGAGTGACAGTATAATGACAGCTTCCTGCCTCATGTGTGCTGCCTGGAAGGAAAAGGGTGTCAGAAACATAACCTTTTAAACCCAATGACAGTCAAAATGTTTTTGAAAAACCAAGGAAAAAACTAAATTTAAAAGCTATACCTAATCTTATACTGAAAAGACATTTTTTTATAATTTAAATATGGGGCCAGGGCTTTAGCTCAGTGGTTCCACTGCCCGCCTTGCAATTGTAAGGACCAGAGTTCGATGATCCCTGGTACCAAAAAAAAAAAAAAGGGCCGGGATTTAGCTCAGTGGTTTCGCCGCCTACTGCGCAAGCGCAAGGACCCGAGTTCAACCCCCAGTGCCAAAAAAAAAAGTTAAATATGGTTTCTCTCTTGGATACAAAGAGTTAAAAATCACTTTCTAAGTTAAAAAGGTAATCCTCCAGTGAGTTAACTACTATGAGTTTGGTCTGTAAAGCCTGTGATAAATGGGACTTCTGGAACATAGGAGGAAATGGGAATTATCCAAGGTGATTCTCCTTAACACTGAACACTTAAACGCTCACAGAAAGATACCAAGGAGGACTAGTCAGACCAAGAGTTCAAGCTCTCCAGATCACAGACACGGCCATTTCTTCTCTTACAACCCAGGGAGCAATAAACTAAGCCAGAGTCGCCTGGGAGAGTCCAATCAACTTCACTAACTTCCTCTCTCTACTTATTCAGCCCCACAGTGAGCACCAAGTGGTTTTCCCATTTCTGGATCATGGAGAGGAGACGCTGGGAATGGGAGGGAAGATTACCAAACAATCACAAAATCTGAGAGTCCCTGTCTTTGTACTCCTGTCTTAAAAATGTTCTTGGAAACGTAAATGCTGGCAAAATAGACCTACAATATATCTCTGTGAATATTGAACTGTTTTGTTTGGTTTTCTTTCCAGTGCTAAGGATCAAACCCAGGACCTTGGGCATGCTAAGTAAGCACTCTACCACGGAGCTATACCCCTAGTCCCCGAATACTGAATTGTTAAAGCTATATCTTTTTATAGACTTATTATTACAATTTTACAACACAGATGAATTTTGATCTTCCATCAGAGTATGCAAAAGAAAACAAGTATGATTTATTTAGAGTTCAAAGATATCTTCCATTGAATTTCTAATACACAGATATAGAACTTCTTTAAGAAATGTCTCCTTCTATTCCATCTGATATTAGAATTAAAATATTGTAAAGCCAGTTACCCAAAAGGAAGTCCACATATGTTTTCAAAAGTAATCACAAATTTTAAGTTACCATTTTGGTATAAAGAAAAACATTAATATTCAACAAGAAAAGAAAATCAATCTACAGAGTGATAACATTCAAAAATTAGTTTATGTTCCTATAAATAAATAAATCCATGTATGAAATTTCCACTATTTTGTTTTAAATAAAATATTAGAACATTTTTTATATTTGTATTTCAAAGATGCCAAATAGAACCCTAGTAGAGTTATGTATGTGGTAAGTATAATGCAATTTTATCATCCTGAAGACATATATTCTCTAAAAAGATCACACATAGACTTAAAATATTTCAGGCAAGGTGAAAGAGAAACCACTATCCCTTCAAAAATAAAACTGCATTTTTGCTGACAAGGCAAAAGACTTACTGAAATAAGTACAAGGTAACATGCCCTGTTCTGTGTTGAATTGTGGCCCCCAAAAGATGTGTTTGACCCTAACCAGCAGAACCTGTGAATGTGGCCTTATTGGAAACAGGGTCTTAGCTATGCAATCAAGTTAAATGAGGCCATGGGGTGGGCTCTCATCCAGTGACTGATGGCCTCATAACAAAAGGAAGTTTGGACCCAGAGACACAGAGGAAAGACTGCCACGTGAAGAGGCTGGGGTAGGACTGCTACACACCAAGGAGTGTCTAGGGCTACCAGGATGAGGCAAAGGCAGATCCTACCTAGGAGCTTTAGCGGGAGGATGGCCCTACCTACACCTTGACTTGGGATTCCTAGGCTCCACAGCTACACAAGAATAAACTCTTGTTTTTCTTTTTGTTTTTTGGTATCAGGGGTTTGAACTCGAGTTCTTGCACTTGCGAGGCAGGCAGTGGAACCACTGAGCTAAATCCCCGGCCCATGTTTTGTTTTGTTTTGTTTTCATTAAGTTTACTGGTACAGTTTAGGTCTACAATACAGTTACATTCATCATTGGGATCTTATACCTTTACGTGATGTATCTTGGTTCTTATTTTTTCCCTATTCCCCTAACCTCCCTTCACCCAATAAACTGTTGTTTTAAGCCACCAGTTTGTGATACTTCATTATAGTAAGTCTGAAAAACTAATACACCATCTTAGTCACCATGTTGGAGAGATGTAAAAGAGGGAGAGGTCAGGGTGCCCAGGAGATGGGATTTTTTTAGACTGATTTGGACTGTTCATTATCTCTTAAAGGATAAAGAGGACAATGGATTCAGAAATTTCCATAGAGGTACTCTCTCGTTGGACATCCAGTATCTAGTAAGAGCATGCCTCTTTCTATACCCCATTGAGAGAAAGGCCTCATTCTCTGGAGTAATGCCCCTGCTCCTAGTGGAAAGGATGATACTAAAATAACAAATGTAGAGATTAATAATATAATTAAACAAACATACATCTTAACCTGAAGAGTTATGTCATTTGCCAACACATTACAGAGATTCAAACGTAAAAGGCAGCTAAAGATAATTTGACATAACTAATATGCTGTTCTAGATAAATTCTATCCCTCTGAGTATAATTCTATGCTAAGAATTAAAATGCTTCATCCATGGGGCTAAGGGTGTAGCTCAGTGGCAGAGGACAAAAAACTAAAAGAAAGTAAAATAAAAGCTTGACTCAGGCAACGTCACAAGTTACACTTAAAATGCTGGGCAAGGTATAAAAATGTGCACTGTAAATTAAAGCCCCCACTATCTAGGAGTCTAGTTGGTTTCTCTATTTAAATAGGGGAAGCTTCTTTAGCTTTCTAAGAATTAGATGCACCAGCATAAAACTAATTTGGATATTTTTAAAATACACTAAACATAAATTGTGAGCTTTGGTCCACAGAAGAAATGATGTGCCAATTCAAAATCTTAAGCCTAACAATGTAGCAGAAAGTATATTTTTTAACTAAAAATGTTTTCTTGAAGGATTATAATTTAGATCAAAAACTGACAAAATGTATTCTCAAAAAGAAGCTAAAATTGAATTGTGCAGAAAAAAAGAACCAAAACCCCAGGACATCCTAGGCACATCAGGAAAATGCTAATGTATTTTAATACAACTGCCATCGTCCGCTAGACTTAGAAAACTATTGCAGTTTCACAAGTATAGATTATTCACAAATGTATTTTTTTGTGGTTTGACAAGCCCAGCCAAGCAGAGCTGCTGTCTCTTACACAAGTTAACATGAGGAACCTTGCGCTTTCCAGACAGCATCGAGGAGGGCAGGCGGTCCCATGAGGCTGTGAGCTCAAAGGCAGGTGGCATTCAGCTTCCAGAAGAGGGGGAGAAGAGTCAGCCTCTGGGCCCACTGTATCCATTTCTCAGACCACATTTTGCTGTGGAATTCCCCACACATGGCTCAGCATGCCATGCCTCTCTGTGAGCACAGTGCCAGTGTGACCCTGAGCACCTACAACAGCCTCCTGCAAACCAAGCCAAACCACCTTACCTGCAGCCGACAAAACAGAAAATACAGTGGTGCCTCAGTTTGCGAACACTTTTGTTTGCAAACAATCTGGCTCACAAACAGAAGCATTTGGCAAAATTTTGTTTTTGTCTTTCCCACACAAACACAAATGTGGCCATCTTTTCCAGAATCGTGGAATGAATTAAGTTCGTGAACTGAGGGACCACTGTAACAGCACATCCTGCACCTTCACTGCACTGAACACATGGCTAATTTAGTGCTCAAGAGCTTACCTATGTGCCAGGGAAGTTCATCTTCACCACAGGCCTCTGGGCATTTTGCACCTCCAACCAGGTACTGCTCACCTACCAAGATGCTGACTGTACTAACACCCGCCATCAGCCTCGCTCCAGTCCTCTCATTTTGTTGATGTGCAACCATGTCCCAAATATCTTTTTCACACCAAAGCCAATATTTTTGAAAGTACAATTTGGTATGAATTCCTCAGTCATAGTTAGTAAAGGGGCTGCCTATCACAAAATAGTGAAAATACTAACCCAAAGATGCTATAAGGGAAATTAACTGAACATTAACAAACAGAGCCATGCTATGAAAATAGAATAGACATTAAAAGTTCCATCCAAGGAAAGCTGGTGGGGAAATTCAACTTCTCCATTTAACCCTAGTATTCTCAGTCAAGCCCAAACACTGAAATAGTCGAAGATACTCCTTTTAAATATTGATGCCAGATCCTACCCCATACCAACCTAATTCAGATCACTGCAAGAGGGACTCAGGCCCTGGGACTTAGTACACGCTTTCCAAGGTGATGCTAGTGTTCAGTTGTAGTTGAGAATCACTGATCTACACCAGGGGTCAGTAGATTGTTCTGTGAAGGGCCATGCCAAAAATGTTCTAGGGTATCTGGGCCATTTAGTCTTTATCACACTTCTCCAATTTACTGCTCTATCCCAAAAGGAGCCTTAGACAGTACATAAATGAATGGGTGTGGCCGGGTTCCAATACAGCTTTACTTATGAACACTGAAATTTGGAATTTTAAATAACTTTTACACATCACAAAATATTCTTTTTTTCATCATTTAAAAATGTAAAACCTATTCTTAGCTTTTGAGTCATACAAAAGCAGGTAGCAAGCAAATGTGGCTGGCCCAGAGTTTACCAACCCATGATCTGCACTGCAGTCTGAACAAATGTCTACTTAATTTTCTCAAAAACATCTGATCAGTGATTCCCTATAGTCCCAGAAAACATCTCTTTCAAGACATGGATACCTTCAGATTCGAGCTGTTCCAGGCCGTAGGAAGCGGCTGTATTTGTGCTGCTACTGGATGGAACTGTTCTCTCAGAGGGGGCCTCAGAAGCAGGAATTGCTGGGGAAGAGCTAATCACCTCCATCATTACTCCAGGGGTTGTCACAGGGGAGCCCAAAACCGGTGTGAACTCCTCACTGGACAATGTGACTGTGTCCGTGCAGCCTGCCAAACACAAGAGACAGGGCTTGACCCACAGCCACTGTAGATGTGTGCTTCCACTTTGTAGGCAAGAAATGATGAAGGACAGCAATACCTCCCACGCAGCAAGTCTGGCACTCAGACCAGCTCCTCCCTCCCACATCGTGTCAGTTCGGCCACCCACAGCAAACACTTTAGCATCCAGGAACATATGTTATCCCACACTGGAATCTTCCTTTAATTTCAGTCTCTCATTGGTTCTGCTGACAATGCTATCGATGTTGCAGAGTTTTCTATAACGCGTTAGCAAAGGTAGAAAATTTAACAAAAATGTTAAGATACATGCCAATGACTACATTGAAAAGACAAATACATTTCTCAAAGTCAAGTCAAAGAATAAGACCCTAGATCTGTACCTGAAATGTGTCGAATTTCAAGGCAACCAATTATAGAAAAGTAGGGCCAAGGTACTCCTAAGTCTAAGACTCTAGCATAGTAGTAGCTTGAAAACCTCGTTGATCATCAGAATCAATGAAGGTAATTTTTAAAATGTACATTCTCATCCACACATCTCAACTCTCTGAATCAGAATGTGTTTGCCCTAAGAAACTTTTTAGAAAAGCTTCCAGAGTTGGGCGCAGTGGCATACACCTGTCATTTCAGCTACTCAGGAGGCTGAGGCAGAAGGACCAAAAATTCAAGCCCAGTCTGGACAACTTAGCAAGACCTGTCTCAAAATGAGAAATAAAGGCGCTGGGGATACAGCTCAGTGGTAGAAGATCCCTGACTTTATTCTTTTTTTTTTTTTGGTACCGGGGATTGAACTCGGGTCCCTGCACTTGCACAGCAGGCAGCGAAACCACTGAGCTAAATCCCTGGCCCTTTGACTTTATTCTTTTAAATAAAAAGGCTACCAGGATTTGGATCCACAGGATCTCCTGCATTAGCACCCACTTTGGGAAACAGGCATTGGCTTCAAAAGTGTCAAACACTCACACATCCTAGGGCCAGCATTCGTGCTGCTAGGTGAAACTCCTGCAGTGCAGAGTGGGGAGCATGAACAGGACCCAAATGCAAAACAGCAAGACAGTGGATAAGGACTGGATAAACAAACTATGGTGTATTTTCATTATGCAGCAGTGAAACAAAAGAGCTGCAGGATGTAGATCTTAGTCACAGAACATTAAGTAAAAACTGTAAGTGCCAAAAAGTTCATCTGTAGTACACTATTTCTAACATTAAAAAAAACTAGAAATTTAAAATGTGCTTTTGTAAAAATATAGCTGCAATAAAACTTTTTCAAAAGGATGGAAAAGGACTTATGAAAACAGGGTTCAGAATGCCTACCAGCCAGGAGAGGCAAAGCTGAGAGACAAAGGGTCTCTGGTTTCTGTAGGTTATTGTCCAGGCTTTTTGTTGTTTTATTTGAGGGCAGGGGAAGGAGAATGCACTAGAAAGTACTCATTACATTGTTGAAAATAACTCAGTATATACATATAAAAAGTAGGCCTTTCTTGGACCAATGATAAAACAGAGATATGAAGTCAAAAACTAGTATTTTTAAATATTAATTTTTTAATTCCCAAGGGATTATAATAATCAACCAAATTTGAAAATATCATTGCCCTTAAGAGATCAGGGCATTTAAGGTCCTACTAGATAGAAAGCCCTTTGTACACACTATTTCAAATCTTTAAAATGCCCTCAGAGACAGGGTAGGCATTGTTTAGAAATGAACAAACCAAGTCATACAGAAGTTGAAACGCTTGAAGCTACAATACCACCGAGGACCAAGGTGGGACTCAAACCCAGGTCTTTGCTGTGTTTGCCTCTAGTTGCCAAACTAGGAAAGAGTTCCCCAGAAGGCCTTCCCTCCGGGGACCCAGAGCTGAACCACCCTGCAGGCTGCACCACCCTCTGCAAGCAAGACAGAGGTCACCCCTCTCTGGTGGGGTGTTGTGTGCCCTGGGGAAGAGCCAGCTACCCCGCTCCTCCTTGTCCTTGTGACTGAGAGAAGAGCTACCCGAAACTGAGTCCAAGTCCCTCCCTTACAGACCTTCCGCACCAGGGATGACTGCAGGAGTCAATGGGGCCGCTGTGGTTGAAGCTGTCGTGGCCAGAGGCTCCCATCTTCTGGACAGCTGAGTAGCAGCAGAAGCATCAGTCCCAGCAGAGGGGGACTCCTCGCCTTCCTCGGGGTCTCCACTGTCTCTGGGAACATCCAGGGTAGCAACCTGCTCTCGTGTCATGAAGGGTAGAGTGGCCTCTGGTTCCTGGGCAGCCGTTGTCATTTCTTGAGTGATGGTGTCTTTAAAGAGGGAAATATTTTAAAATAGACTAAATCCTTAAAGTCACCATGTAGTTAACAAATCAAAACAAAAATAAGCTGACAGCTATTTCAGGAACTGCAAAAACAAAGAGAAAACTCAGAAATAAAAGTCCAAAAAATAAATGTTTCCACTGTTGCTGATTTTAGGACTTACGAGTTAATCTCAGACAGAAGTAAAGAAATTTTAAATGTAAAAAAAACCTGGAATAAAATGCAAAGCAAAGTAGGAAATCAACAGCTGAATACTAACATAATCAGTTTGTTAAGAAACAAATTACACAAACTAAATTAAAACCAAAAATTCTCAGAGGCATCTGTATATATTAATTTTCACATGCATTTCTGAAAGGGAAGTTGCTATTTTAAAGTAAAATAATAATTATAATAACTGAATGTTCCTTGAGTTTCTAACATGTGCCCTACATGCCCCATACAAGTGCACAGTGTGTGCAGATTTTTATTTTATCCTATGTCCTAAAGGGAGGTGGGTACCAATATCGTTCCATGGAAACTGAATATCACAGTGGTCAAGAAAGCAAGCTATACAGCCAATTTCCCTGAGTCTGAATCCTAGCTCTGTGAGCCTGAGCAAATTACTTAACATCTCTGGCCCTTCAGTTTCCTCACTATCAAATGGGGAAAATAATAGTATCCATCGTATAAAATTGTTACAACGATTAAATTCGCTCATACATGTAAAACACTTAGTACATGCCCAGTACATTGGTTAGTATTCCATAAATATCAGCTATTATACCCCATTCTATGGAACAACTTAGTTTCAAAGAGCTGAGGAACCTGCCATTCCCGGCCAACACTCTCAGCCACTGTGCTAACCATGACCAAGGAGCGAAGTGGAGCAGCCTCTGCAGAAGGTCTGCATCTCTCTGAGATCTGCAAATGGACTGAGACGGAGCAAGAGAATATGCCATTGTCCATCATAGGCCTGCCTTCCTTACAGTAATATAATGTCTTCAAATACACTGTTAGCACTACCTGTATTTATAAGGATTGAAACTTGCTGCCTTCTTAGGGAGTCTAGGCTGGAAATTTCAAATACTTAGCAACTACAAAAAATGTTAAGAGAGACCTTATTATCTCTCTTTCTTCAAATACCAGTTCTGGATACACAGCACAGTAGCAAGTTCAGTAAGTTAGACGATGAAAAATATCAGGCTAGGTATAGCTAGGGAAAGTTTCCTCCAAGTTTTCATCAATGACATCATGGTACATAATTTCAAAATTATTTTCTCAAAGGGCAATTTATTTGCTTGAGAACAGTGTGTTTGTTTCAGTAAAAGCAGTTCCTTTTCTTGGAACCCAACCAGTCTACACTGTTTTGTTTTGTTTTGTTTCTTCTGAATTGAGGGCTTTTTACATTTGGTAGATCAATTACACCTGGTTAGTTACAGGACAAAATGAACTAGGGTAAAGTGCTTTACCTGAGCTTCCAGTTTGTTCTTTTTACCAATATTTAAGTTGATTCTTTATTTTTTCCTTCTCCAGTAAGACTGGAAATGTCCTGAGAACCAGGACCATTGCCCTTTTGTGTCCCCAGCACTGGGACAATGGTCTGCTCCACAAGAAGACTCACACACAGCTGTGTCACTTTATGTAGCGTGTGCATTCTTCATATTGTCACTGATAAAAATATGATGAACACTTTTGAGCACAAATATGTAAAAAGCCATATACAATCTACGTTCATAGTTTCATGAGACAGCAAAAAATGTCAAAAAATGCATAGCACTTGGAACAAGTGACAACTTTGTAAAGAGTGAGAACTAGAAATATTCACGCAAATTTTTTAAATAACATTCAGAATTTCCCAATATCTCTCACTCTTCCTACTTTCTGTAGAGAAAGAAGAATGTAATACTCATGATAGACTATTTTTCAAACCTTAGTTGAAATAATGAACTCGCTGAATCAGAGGACAGACTATAATCTCAGGATTTTCATCTGTTAAAAATAGACAAAATACCAAAAAACCATTGCATACCCTCAAAAAGATAACATCCTCAGTGATTCTTGGACCCTAAAATGATTGATATTTCAGTTATTTCCTTCAAAAAATACTTATCGAGCTAGATGTGATGATGCACACCTGTAATCCCAGCACTCAGGAGGCTGAGGGAGGAGGGCCACCATGGGTTCAAGGCCAGTCTGGATTACACAGTGATTTCAAGGTCAGCTTGAACTACATAGTGAGACCCTGTCTCTAAAAAAAAAAGGCAAAAAATATTTACAATCATCAAGAAATGGTAGAAGATTTTGCTTGTTTGCTTGGTGTTTTTGTTTTTTGTTTTTGGCTATTCCATAACTCCCATTGTCATAAACTGCAATCTTCTACATTCCTCTGAATTCAATGGTAGCAGTCCCCAGCCTTAGTGGCACCAGGGACCAGTTTTGTGGAAGACAATTTTTCCACAGGCGATGGGCTGGGGTGGGGTGCTCACGATCCTTCAAGTGCATTACCTGTATTGTCCTGATTTTTTTTTTTTTTCTCGTACTGGGGATCGAACTTGGGACCTTGCACTTGTGAGGCAGGCGGCAGAACCACTGCGCTAAATCCCTGGCGCATTACCTGTATTGTGCATCTTATTTCTATTATTGTTACATTAGTTTCTCATAAGAAGCACACGACCTACACCCCACCTGGAAAGCTCACAGTGGGGTTCCTGCTCTTCTGAGATTGCCTGTCAGGAGGGGCGGAGCTTGGGCATAACTAGATATGGGACCACTTTGAATTCAGGAGCACATGATACTCCACCCCTGCAGAGGCCCTCGCTCTTTAGCCCTGTTCTGGACGCCCACTATAGGGGACCAAGAAAACTAAAACGAAGGCAATGACTTGTCTATTCCTCTCTCTACAACAAACATAGAGAGGCAGATTAACTTGGACAAGGTGGATACTCCATTGGGATGATCCTAGTCTGAGTGGTTCTCTACATTTACCCATCCGCTGGACTCATATTCACTGAACATCTAATACATGCCAGGTATTGTGCTATTTGCTGGGAATAAAAAGTCACCTGCTAAATGACTGTCGTTAAATGAGATGATTGTGACTAAGGAGCATATTCAATAGTCACAATAATCATCAAGTCCAGTTTACTTTTTAGCTTGTATCTACAGAAGCTAACACAAGTCTGGAATCTACGAATCATGAATTCAAGGGTACAGTGTATAATCTGGGACTATAGGATTTAATCCCCCAGAAATATTTTCTAAGTGCCAAGACAACTGAAATCAACTTCTTGTTCAGTCATATCTAATATTTTCACACTCACATAGACTCAACTCTCTTAATGTCACTTAAAAACCAACTCACAAAACATTTCTGGAAGCCTCTTTGAAAACTTAGGGTACACCTGGTCTTTCGGTCTTTACAAATGAATTAGACATGCAAAACTCACTCATCCTTTTCTCATTTACCAAGTAATCTTTTATCATCTTAAGTGAATCCCAACAACACTTTATAAAATATTTCAAATTTCTTATTTCCATTAATTGGGCCACTTGGCTGGAATAATATCTTTTAATTGTTCCAAAACAATGTGAAATGAGATACACACTTTATACTAAGATTTTCCTTCTCAATGCTGTCATCTGACAAACTACACGTAATAAAAGAAAAACATTATGCAGCACAAGAAATACAAGGCACGTCAGGTTATAATATCCACAGATGAAAGGTCAAGAAAAAGTGAAAAATACAAAGCCAAGCCAGCAGATGACTCATCTTTCTTCCTCCTTATCTCCAGATGATTTATTTTTGGGTAAAGTCAGAGAACTCATGTGGTTAATACTATTGGATAAGTATCTGCCTAAAGCTTTTGGGTAAGAAATATTAGAGATGTGAGTATATTTTACAACAATATACAAACATATAACCTATACTGTTTATGATACTATGTAAATATATAGCTAATTCTTTCATATTTTCCTGTAGAGTTATACGTTTTCACAGTGAAGTGGAAATATTCATCTATATCAGGGTTTCTCAGCCTCAATGCTGTTGATACACTGGCTCAAATGACTTTGTGCTGGGGCTGCTGTATGTATTGCAGGATGCTAGGCGCCATCCCTGACCCTCTACCCACTAGACACCAGTAGCCACCCTCAACTGTAACAACCAAAATGTCTCCAAGCACTGGTAAATGTCCCATGGGGTAAGGAAGGGGTGCTGGCCTATAAGCAGGGGTTACACGTGGGTATAAGTTTTACATAAAATACATGATTTATGTCCTATTTATTTCACTTAAGAGTATCGCCTGAATGTGCATCCACTTAGCTATAAATGTCTCTAATTTCTCATTTTTTATGACTGAGTGGTACTCCATTTTATAAAAAGAAACACATTTTCTTTATTCAGTCTCCAGTTGATGGGCATTTGGGCTGTTTCCAACTTTTAGCTATTACAAACTGTGCTGCTATGAACATGGGCGCACATATACCACTGTGGTATGATTCTTTTAATTCTTTGGGGAAGATCCCCAGCAGTGGAATAGCAGGGTCAAATGGGACTTAGTCCTAGTTCTTTGAGGTTGAATAAATACCGAATAGTTTCTCTGGTGTGAGAAACTGAAAGTGTAAATAAGGACTAAATGTATAATAGGTCATGTGAAATAGGAAGAAAAGGAGCAAAGGGGAAGGAAGTGGAAGGGCTAGGGAAAAGGATAGAAGGGAATGGGATTAATATGAGAAAATGGGAAAATAGGAACAAAATCTCTGTAAATAGGGAGGAATGGAGGGGTTGAAGGGAGGGCTGGGCAAGGGTGAAAATAAGAACCAAGAGAGATTATGTAAAGGTGCAAATGTCCAATGATGAATGTCATTATATTGTACACCTAAAATGTACCAATGATTAGAATGAATAATTGATAATGCAAAATAGGAAGAAAAGGTCCAAAGGGGTAGGGGTAGAGGGAGGGGCAGGGGAAAGGAAGTAAGGGAAAGGAAAAATGCTGAGAAATGGAAAAAATGGAAATAAAGTCTTTGTAAATAGGGAAGGGTGGAGGGCATGAAGGGAGGGCTAGGAATGGGGAAAAAATAAGAACCAAGATGCATTATGTAAAGGTACAATTCCCAATGAGAAATGTAATTGTGTTGTATACCTACAATGTACCAATAAAAGAATTTAATACAAAAAAAAAAACATGATTTACTTGAACACTTTTGCTTTTCATTAAAACTTTAACAACCCATTTCTAAATTGCCTTTAAAAAATAAAACCAAAAGATTGCAAATTAAACAAGGCTTATTTTTCTTCCTTTCCTTTTCCCCTTTCCTTTACCTTTCAGTGCCTGTCCCAGCAGTTGATACGCCTCTGACTGAGATTCTGACCCAGACTCGGTCGTCTCTGAGAGGAACGCTGTGCTGTCTCCCTTGGTGGAATCCGTGACACCTCCTACACCTCGGAATAGGCTCATGGAAAACTCTGTACCTTCCAACAGGCTCGTGGGAGCAAAGGAACTGAGGCGAGCGGAGGCAGGTAATCCCTCGTCCCCCTGTGACATTTCCAGGGCTGTGCCCACATGTGCTTCTCCTTCTGGCAGCCCCAGAGCTACCTCCGCTGCCGCTGGATTGCCTTCAGGCTGTGGGGTCCTTATCTGGTTTCCACCCCCTGGTTTGGTGTCATCCCATTCCTCACTTAAGACAGAGGTGGCTGGAACAGCTGAGCTGACACTCACTGTGATTTCTGGGGCTTCCAGCAAGCTGTAGGTTTCCGGCTCAAAACCCAGGGTATACGCAGAAGTTGCCACCAATAAGTGCTTGGTGCCAGTGGCCTGGGTATCATCAGCTGTCATCTGGGAGGGCTTCTCCCCATTAGGCAGGAGGCTTCCGGGTACAGTGTCTGTTGTGGACTCAGCACCAGGAAAAGAAGTTGTCCTCTGCTCTGTGGCTGCTTTGAGTTGCTCCATCCTTGGACTGGTGGTTATCATTTCTTCGGTGTTCATATAGGATGAAGGTGTATGTCCCAAACTAACTTCTTCCTGATTTTCAGTTGCGAACAGCTGATTGACCACATATGTCAGAAAACTTTGTGTTGTTTCTGTGGTCCCTTCCACAGTGGGCTGACTGCTGGTACTGCTCCAGGGCTCCTCTTCCCCATCAGTACTCAGAGAAGCAGCTGCAGGGAGGGCGATGGTTAGCGTGGGCTCTGAAGGCTTGCTCTCAGCAGACAGGCCCCCTGGCTGGCTGGAACCAGGCATGTCCTCACCTGTCGGGACCGCTGGCTCAGATGCCATATAAAGACCAGCACTGCTAGACTGCAAGAGCCCAGCTCCTCCAGGATGGGTTTCTTTGTTATCCAAGAGGATTTCATTTAATGACATTGCTGATGGTTCTGCTGAGGCTGGTCTTGCATCTTCGGAGGACACCAGTTGAGGAGTTGGCTTTGGAGTCACAGAGCTATTTTCCAGGTCATCTGTGCTGATCCTCTCAGGCTGCTCTTGTTCTTTTTTGGGGAAGGCCAGACATTGTATGGCAAAGTTAAGAAAAAAAAAGCTACCAAAAGCCAGACAAAGGTGCAAGACAATTGATCTGCTCATAGTGGAAGAGAAATGTGCATAGAAATTGGCAGAGCTGACAATTCCAGCAACTGAGTCCTGCAGAAAAATAAAGCACATCAAGCTGTCATATACATACAGCTTATAAGTTGCTTTAAATGGAACTATAAGAAAAACAATCTCCTTGACTTCGCAGAGAATGTAGGTAGGAAAGGGCTGTTCTATTTCTTTGTACCCTTGAGACATGGATAACCCAGTTCATTTTTCCCTGCTGAATTTTGCAGCTGATTTAACTTAAGCTCCCTAGAAAAAGGTACACATAGTTCAATAGGTTCATTGTTTCTCAAATACCTACTTGAAATAAATTACCCTTGAAGTTACATTTGCAATATCTTCTCCAAACTCCTCAATTAATCTCTATTAATCCTCTATTAGAATCCCAAATTCCTCTATTATTCCTCTATTCATCATAGTCAAGAACTTGTAGAAAATAGCAGTATATCCAGGATATAGAAAATAAATGTTACACGTTCATTCAAAGAATTTTTTAAGTGTTGCCATGGTATGAAAGTTCATGTCCCCCAAATCCATATGTTGAAATCTAATCATCAGAGTGATGGTGTTAGGAGATGGGCCCTGGGGGAAGCGATAAGGCCATGAAGACAGAGTCCTGATTAATGGAATCAGTGCTCCTTAAGAGTCCCCAGTGAGCCTCCCCACCTCAGAAATTTCTCACTTTGCAGTCTGAAGCACCACCACACCCACAAAAATAAATCTCAGAGATGCTGGGAGTTTTCTAGAAAATTAAAATTCTAAAACAAAAACCTTGTCTTTACAAAAGTTATACTTTTTCTTTCTTTCATGGCTAATCATTAAACCCTCCAGATTAAACACATGGTGTGCAGGTGAAATATAGAAATTCCATTTCCATGGGGCCTTCTCCCCTTAGGGATTTCAGAACATCCACACATTAATCGAGTTTTGTTTTAAAGGTCCTTTCAAACATAAAATGGCTAAACCCTATGGGCATGATCTATATGACTGGAGACCAAATGAAGTCTGGATTTCCTGCCTGAGAACAAAGGAACCCGTGCGTTTGGAGCTGAGGCCTCCTGCAAACCACAGATAGCACCAGGAGAGCAAGCTGTCTGGAAGCAGACCTTCTAGCCCCTATCCTATCTTCTTGAGCAATTTGAAGCCAAAATCACCCAGCTAAGCTACTCCCAAGTTCCCGGTGCACAGAAGCCGTATGAAAGAATACACATTTATTGTCATGTTAAACCACTAAGTTAGGGGATAACTTGTTACACAAAAATCCTGAACCCACAGTGCTTTAAGGAAGTACAGGAACATAGGTGCTGAGAGTTGTCAGGATGCCATGTGCAGAGAAGGATCAGCACATCAAGGGTCACAAAGTAAACAGGAAAGAGAAAATGAACTAGAGGTAAAGGGAAGGACACATCCCCCATATGCCAAATCGGGGTTTGAAATCCCTGTTAAATTAAACCCAGGTAGCTCTAGCCTCATTTTAAAAGGAGAAAATAGGGGGGAAAATAATCGAGAAAGAAGAAATAGCATGTGCTGGTGCATGTCAGCATCACGGACACTGCTGTAATTCAGATGAGCCAGAAAGCACCTCTGTCCGTGGCCAGGACAGATGACTGGACAATATCAGGCCTGCTGCTTGTTTCCCTTCCTTAAAACAAAAACCTGTGAGAGCTGTGAAGCAGGAGTGTTCATAGACAGTGGGAAACTGAACAATGAAACTATTTATATATTTGAAGAGGCATAAAAGCTACAGACTGACTGTCTGGGTCATTTTGGATCTGTTCAGAGAGCTGTTTGTTCCTAAACAGATACTCACTAAACCTAACTAAACATCCCAGAAAATAAAAAGTATGGACTAAAAACTTGGTCTACATGACCACATGCTTTTGGCTAAAACTGTGGAAAATGAAAGTCTTCGTAAACGGTGACAGAATTTAGAGGTTCAGAGACTGCCATTGGAAAGACAATTTCTGAATTTTAACTTTCTTGGTATTAAAATTTGTTCTGATACCAAGCAACTGGTTTTAGTTTCTCCTTTGGCAAAATGAGGAGTAAAACAAAATAACCTTTGAAATCTCCTCTGCCTCCATAATTCTGTTCATACCTCACCTCTCTGACATAAAACAAAAATACAGGGACGGGGATTTAGCTCAGTGGTTTCGCTGCGCAAGCACAAGGACCTGAGTTCAATCGCCGGTACCAAAAAAAAAAAAAATAAATATATATATATATTCCTCTAGAATCATAATTTTGCCATCAGATAGGTGAGGCACCCACATGACAGAGCAAATGCTCCAGAAGAATTTTATGAACAAATGAGATTGAGGAGAAGGGGAACAAAGAATAAAAATTTAACACAAAGCCAATCGCCTTTCCAAAAAATAATTTTCCTTCAAGGTCTTACTTTTATCCACACCTTGAGTTTTAGAACTTTGGTGTGAAAGGGATTCAGTTGTGCTCTAAAAGACCTTCCTTCTGTGATTCAATGTCGGCCACCTGCTTTCTAAATCCAATTACAGCAGAAAAAGTGGGGTGAAGTCGAGCCTTTTCTAGTCTGTGTATTGAAGCCATATGCGCCTTCTCCCCACTATTCAAAGCAAAGCCTGAACTTTGAAAGGAAAAAAGACAGCCTGTAGGAATGGCAGCAGGGAACACATCTGCTACACAGATAAATTGGCAGATGACCTTCAAGTTCCAGGTCTTTCTTGATCTTTCAAAACCCAGCGCAAGTTCACACAGCCACCTTAGGAGTTTGGTGTCCCATAATGGGAGTTGCATGACATTAGAAAATTAAGAAAAGAATGACCATTGTCAATTCAATTACAATATTCCTAACACTAAATTACCACCTGCAATAATATTTTGAAGATCATAGCCCTTTCCTCTTTTCCTCAACACAATATCTCCTATGAGGCCACACACCCAGTTTAGAAGAAATGCTTAGTAAATACTTACTGAACAAACAGATAAACGTCTATGGTCTGCTTTACTGGTAGAAGTGGAAGGAAGATTTCATTGCCCATTAGAATTCTGTGTCTTCTATTAAATTAACTCAGTCATACAAATATTTAATAAAAACACAAAAAGAACTCTTCTCTTACTTTTCCCTTAGCCTGTGCCTTTAGATGCTGTCTTTTCATTTGATCTGTCAGTGCAAATTGATTCACATGAACTGTAACCCAATTCTTAACTGATAGTGGATATTAGCTTCAAACAGCTTAAAAAGTGTCCCTTTCAGAGCAAATCAGCAGCACTTGGGCTATCATTTGCTATCAAGGGGCCCTAATGGCTTGCCAGTCCTCTGAACAATTTACTACTTTTCCACCACCAGCGAGTACATAAGCTGTCTTGTCAAGTATTATCTTTGACAATCTTAAATAGACACAGCCCAGAATCTGCATCTTTGTCAAGTCTGGGAATATTCAAGTTTCAAAGACAAATGAAAGACAATACAAAAAGAAAAAAAAACAGCCTTAGACTTAAGGCTGTTCTAAACACTTGGTCAATACTTTTCCAATTAAAATGAATACTGCTATTTCAACGTGCTACCAAAATGAAGACACAAAAGGGAAACCAGTATGTTGAAACATTTTCATCACGACAAAGCTATTTCCAAGGTAAACTGAGTTTCATGCACAATGTAGAGAGAACATGAGCATTGCCCTAAGAGTAGAAACTGGTGAAAAATCTGCCTGATACTTTCCTTTCTCCTGATACACACAATTACTGTAAATAGATGGTGTGGGTGGGGAAAGAAAGACAGCTAATCTCAGATTGTCACTGTCTACTCAAAAGACAGCGGGGATGAACTGCGAGCCTTTTCTAGTCTGTGTACTGAAGTCATATGCTCTTTCTTCCCACTATTCAAAGCAACACCTGAGCCTTAAAAGGGGGAGAAAAGACAGCCTGAGGGAATGGCAGCAGGGAACACATCTGCAACTCAGATAAACTGGTAGACAGCCTTCAAATTCCAGGTCTTTCTTTATCTTTTAAAGCCCAACATCTACTTGGTGGCCACCTCAAACACAACCATCTTCTTCATCTCAACTGAGGTGTCAACTTGAACTCTTCTCTTTTACATTCTTGATTCACAACTTATATAAACTCTTCCCTTATACTCTCTCCTAGAACTGTGCCTTTGAGCCAACTCACTGGATTATCATTATTTTAAATGCCTCTTAATTGGTCACCCTTCTACAGACTCTCACCTCTCTAATCCATTTGATACAATCCAGTTTATTCTTAAGAGTAACAATGACAAAAATCAATCAAAGTTGGCTACCATTTGGGAGATGCTTTGTGCCACATGTTGTAATTGCCTTCTGGAAATTATCTTATTTAATCTTCACAATAACCTAATGTGGTAGATACTACCACTGTCCCCAGGCTTACAAAGGATAATTACCTTGCCTAAGTGATAGCATCTGGTTTCGATCTTCTGGATCTTGTCAGACTTCAAGGTCTCTGCCTATTATAATTTGGAGCAAAAAAATGTGCCCTCTTATATTCAAAGACATAGCTTTTGGAAAGGTGGTAAGATTGTGGGAGTGGTATCCTCATGATGGATTAATCCACTGGTAAATTCACAGCTGAATCAACTATGTGGGGGAAAGGCAGAGGAAGTAGGTCACTGGGGGCATGCCTCTGAAGGGTATATCCTGTCCCTAGAGTCTCCCTTCCTCCCTGGCTCCTCCCTGCTTTCTCTGCTTCCTAGCTGAAGTGGGCAGCTTTGCTCTACCACGCCCTTCCACCATGATGTTTCTGCCTTGGATCATGGACTGAGTGTTCTGAAACCATGAGCCAAAAATAAACCTTCTCTCCTTTAAAGTGTTTAAGTCAGGAATTTGGGTCCCGAAAAGCAAACGCACTGCCTTTGCCATCACAGCTCTCTGCCTTCCCAAAACACATCATCATGCATGCCTCCAAACATACAACTGGAAAATTCCAGATCTGTAATGCAAGCCCCATGCTATCAGAGCAGAGTACAAACACCACCCCAGTCAAGTCCACTGCCCTCTTATGTAACACACTCATTTTAAGCTCTGAAATGTTGCCATAGCACCACAGCAGCTCCAACACCCACTCTTCTTCCCTGCCCCAGTTATCCAAACCCAGGCCCCCAGTAACAGCTGTCATAAAAAACAACTGGCACATTCTCATCCCATCTTTGCCCTATCTCCTCTCACAGAAATCATCATGTCTGTTAAGTCTCATCATTTCAGTAAGATTAGGTTTCTTCCACATAAACACTGGGTCTTACGCTTCCTTTATTCACCCTAACCCTAATAATGATAGGTAGACAGAAGTATTCAATAAATAATTGCTGGCATAAAATGAATATAAATGATCACTTAATAATGAGGAAAATAATGCTCAGAGTTTCTGTTTTGCATTGGAAGATATCAGGGACATTTCATGATCTATCTTTATCTAACTGTATATTTTGTTCAGCACCTGGGCAATTTTGGCTACTTATTCAATGTGTCATTTCAATAATAGCAGTAACTTGTGTATTCTTATTTCTGTTATATTTTAGGTTTCCAAGTTTATTTCACACACACATACACAAACACACAGATTAAGTTACAAGCAATAAGTCTTGGAGCTTTGGGTCAACTTGCTTCCCAATTACCACCTCACCTTTTTAAATCCAATTAGTAAAAAAATAAATAAATAAAATAAAATACAATTAGTGATCCTTTAATCGATAAGGAAAAAGGACACTCTGCTCCTTCCTGGCTGGTGTCTTAAAAATCTTTCCATCTTGTGCTTTTCTTGCTCCTCAATGATCCATTTGTCATTGTCTTATTTTGTCTTTTTTTAATCCTTGAGGCTCTCATTGCCAATACTATTCCATTTGGGCAAAGCTGAGCTTATCAAGACTCTGACCTTATTAGCCCAGCTGTAGGACATGGCATTCAAGTACCACACTCCTGATTCACTGTGCCACTGACAACTGTCACTGGTCTGTTGCACTGGCTCTTAGATCTGGGCTGAAGCCATCCTTCACTATACATTAAATGGCAGGGATGACAGATGATCTTTTCAGCAGTATGTTCCATCACAATGGAAGGAGGGAGAATGGAGTAACCACACACACAAAAAGTGTGGTCCCCCAGGAGGAAAGCAGTCCTGAGGGGATGAGGGTAAGTAGGTTGGGGTCGAGATGGTTACCCCAGAAACTACCAGCAAAGTGCTTCCCTCTCCCTGCAGGCCACATACTGCACCCACAAGCTTTAGTCTGAACAACTTAATGATGCAAACAAATGAAGGTACCTGTGTTTATCACCCCAAGCATATCATCCTATCCCTGGCAAAAAAAAGGCAGACTTGAAGATTTAAAAACAGACTTCAAGGGGCTGAGGATTTAGCTCAGTGGTTCTGCCACCTGCCTCACAGCGGAAGGACAGGAGTTCAATCCCCGGTACCAAAAATAAAAAAATAAAAACAGACTTCAAGTTTCAGCTCAACCATTGGCAAAGCTCAGTTTCTTTGTGACAAAGTAGCAATAACAGTGCTCATACTAAATACTAACGCGAATAATATTCATTCCTTTTCCTTCAAAGGGTGGAGGAAAGACAAAAATAGCAGACATGAAAGCAAGTCAAAAATGTACATAATGGGAGGCACTCATCACATTGGTTACAAATAGAGTACCCATTTCCCCTCGAGATGCCCTCGGAGCTTGCCTTCCCAGCTTCCAGCTTCCACAGAGATGGTGGGACCTGAGAGTCTTTGCTGCCTGCAGCAGACTCCTGTCCTGCTCAGTCTGGATCACAAGCTGTCTGTCCACCAGCCAGCTCTTCTCAGTGACTCATTCTGACACTTCATTTTTGCCCTCTGGGCTCACAAACCTCATTTGCTTAGTGAGAACTGTTAAGCACTAGGTGGCATGTATAGGGAAGCTAAAACTAGATTCATACACTTTTCTTATAATCACCAAGAAAATGCAATATGGAAAAACAGGATAGATGCACACATTTTAATTACAGAATGAGTTTTTAATCTTGCAGAGATTAATCCCAGAGTCTCTCTGAACAACCAGCTTCCCTATATGAGAATAGATAAAATTCAATTAACAGAAATACAATGCCATACACAACTTCTCAGGCCAACATTTACTGAATAAAGAGTGACGTGCACCTTTAGTCAAAGAGTGAAATTTTTTCCATAGTAAGCCCATCTTCTTCATTTTGATCTTGTGTTTATATTTAGTATCAAAACGTCTCTGTAAAACCAAACTGTGATATCGCAAGCAGGAAACATCAGGAATATACGGTAAGAAGCCTCCCATGAAAACAAAGATAAACCCACAGCTCTCTAATTGGCTCTGTTGCCAGTAGCTACCCTGGACTTGGTGAGCCTTGGGAGTTTCCTGAATAAAGGCAATCAATACCAAGTCTGGTGCCTAAGTGCTTGGTCCCTTACTGTCAAACACCAGGAGTTCCACTTTATTCATAAGAACAAGTCAGACTACCCTTAAATCTCTACTAGGTGAACAAAAGCAACATTCTAATTCTGTGAAACCTCACCCGGTTTTGGATCTGTCAGGAGAGGCGAGGGTGGCTTTGCTGCCAAGTGTGCAGAATCAGCCGGTGACTGAAGATGTTCGGCGGAAGGGGCTCCTGGGAGCCCAACAGCACAGCTTGTGATCAAAGAAACACACAAAGGGAGAGGAGGGGGGCCAAATCCTGACCACACATTTTGTTCCTCAGATAAAAGACCCTTGCAGCTCTGCGGATGGTTTTGGGAACCACCTCTCACTCCCCCTTAAGTTTCAAACTAAAACTTCCAAAGACAAAAGGCAAGCATTTTGAAGCAGCTTTGTCTGCTCTCTTGCACATCATTTCTGCACTGATTAGGTACCAAGATTCCGGCAGATCCTTGGGTGGGCTTGGAAAAGGATTTCTCATTCTGAAGAGCCCTAAACTCTTCAGGGTCTTGGGTCTTGTTGTCCCCTCCCTCGCCAGGGCGCCACACGTTCAGAACCCGCACAGGTCAGTTCCGACAACGACCCGGACGCGCACGAAACGCTGGAGCCGCCCCGAGCCCCCGGGACAGCCCGGGTCCTCCGAGTCCCGCCGAAGGCCCTCTAGCTAACCCAGTGACCTTTCCACCTGGCTCCCTCCAACCGCGTGGGGCCGGGGGGGGGGGGGTGGAGGCTCCGCGGCAACCCCACGGTAAACACGCAACTGTCTGTGTCCTGCAAAGTAGCGGACGCGCTCCGGTGCCACTGCAGCCCGCCACCCTCGACCTGGGCTCTGGGTCGATGGAGTCAGGAGAACACCGCAGTCTCGGGAACTTCTCTCCCACCGCGGCAGGACTGGGAGGGGCGGGAAAGAGAGAAAGCCCACACAAAAGCGGCCAGCCCATCAGCCCCGCCAGCACAAAGGCCCGCTCGCCGCGCAGAGCCCAGGTTGGGCTGGGCTGGGCTGGGCTGGGCTGGCCTGGGCCGGCGGTGCCCGGCGTCCTCCGAGCCTGGTGCCGCGCCCTGCGCCCCGCGCCCCGAGCGCCCGCCCCAGCCCGGCGAGGCGCACGCGGGGGCTACGGGTGGCCCCGCTCCCCGCGCCCAGGCTCCGCTCGCTCCGCCCGCGCGTTCCCATCCCAGCCGCGCCCCACCTCACCTCACCTGGAGCCCTTAGCCGAGCAGCGCGCCGGGGACCGCGGCGGCCGCGCTCCGCATCCCGCGCAGCCCTGCCCGGCCGACCCCGCCGCGTCCCGGACGCCGGGGAAGCGCGTCGCCCTGAGCTGGAGGAGGCCGCGACCGCGGCTGGGGATTGGCCGGCGGGGAGGTGTGCCCGCCCCGGCCCTGCGGGCGGCGACACGCGTCCCCCCTTCCCGCCTCCTCCCCGGCGGGGCGGCCCCGCGGGTACCGTCGTCCCAGGGCCCTCCGGAGACGCCTGCCCTGCTGGCCCTCTGCGTCCTGGCGCCCCTCCGTCGCCGGCAGGAGGCCCCTGCGCACCCTGGTCACAGCGCCCAGATGTCTCAGGTCCAGGCTGCAGGGCGCTCCTCGTGGAAAGGTGGGCGGCTTGGCCGTGCGTCCACGTAGATCCTTAGAGTGACTCTCAGCAAAATGATCCTCTCAGTCACTCAGAGAAGTTGAAAATAAACACTGACAATACTGCGACTGGTTGAGCCTCTACTCCTGCCAGGCACAAGGCTGAGCGCTTTATTCAGGACTGCGTAATCTGCACAGTAACCCTGAAGAGTAGAAGCTCTGATCCCCATTTACAAGGGGGAAAGTTGGGGCTAAGGGCTGTGTAGTTCGTTCACGATCTTATGGCCGGTGCGGCTCCCCTGGGCGTCCATGATCTGCAGTCTTGAGTCCCTCAAGGACCGTTTCCTTTTTCTGCTGCTCCTAATAATGAAGGCAGAGGTGGCCGGAATCTCAAGGCCCATTCCACAACAACCTCCGCAGCACTCTACGCTGCAGTCCTGATAACTCCCTCTTTCTGACGGCTGCTTAGTTCGGTTTGTGGAGTTCCTTGTAAGCATCCTGAAGTGAGAGCAATGCTCTCGTTCATCGTTGGCTCCCACGCTTAACTACACATAGGTCTCCACGTTATCTCATCCCTTCCACCTTTAGAATGCATTAGCTTCGTGTTTCCGGAAAGGTAATTAACAAATAGTTGTTAAATGGAATGTGATTGAATTAAACTGAATTCATAAAATCTGTTTTATGTGTATTCGATGTGATATGTCATACATTGCAACAGAACAGGTCTTCTGCTGTATTCGATACCCACCGCGTGGATCAGCCATACCCAGCCTCACCAAGTTATGTTTTAACATTTCAAGTCAGTAGTTAGAAAATCAAGCCACATCTTCACGTAAATACAATATGCTATAGTATGATGAGGTCCCCACAAAATTGGGTCTACACAGGTAAACCGTACTGCTAATAAAAACAAGGTGATGCTGAGAAAGAAGGGCAAGCAGAATAGGAATGGGCAGGAAGAAGGGAGTCCAGCCCCCTGGCGTCGAGGGCCAGCCCTACCCACAGCATTGAAATGTATCTTTTCCTTGCCATCTTCCTGTCTCTCTTGTGGACCCCTTGCTAACATTTTAGTCTTCACCATAGAGATACTCAAGTCCCGGCTGCAGAACACCACTCCTCAGATCTGCTGTATGCTCAAAATATCTTCTCCAAGACTTCTCTTCTCCCATAGTAAGATTCCTCAACATGTAATTAGTTCAGCTATGCAGTAAAAGTAAAGTAATCTGACTGGAACTTGTTTGTACTAGTGCCTTATCCTACCCTAAATGGTTTGTACTACTTTAAGCCACTCTGGTTGATAAAAATCTTAACAGCTGCTGTGGGTAACTAGCAGTGAATAATACCAACTCTTACCCACGACATACACACAAATCGTGGACAAGGAAAAATTATTTTCTGTAAGTCAACTCAGCAAATCCACAGGTAATGAATGTTATTTGTTTTTTATGAGTAAAGGAAGAAAATGTTTGTGTATGTGTGTAGCTTTATAATACCCAAAACTATTACCAATCAATGTAACAGGAATGAAAGTTCAGAGACGCAGTTTGGGGCTGCCCAGATTTAGCAAATAAAAATGAATGATTCCTAATTAAATTTTAATTTCAAATAAACCATGTGTAATTTTTAACCTAAGTGTGACTCAAATATTATATGGGATATACTTATACCAAATTTTATTTGTTCATTTATGTACTTATTTAGTATAAGTAAAAGAAAGTCCCATTCAACATTTGAGACACACTTATGGTAAAAATTATGTGTGGTTTTCTGAAATTCAAATTTAACTGGGTATTCTGCATCTTCCCTGTCACTATTAGCCTGTTATTTGGTCCTGATTGGTAAAGCCTTTGGGTCAGAAAGGAATTGGTCAGATTGTAGCAAAGACCAGGATAACCAGTCTCAAGAGTTAGGACTGGACAGGGCTGGGCATTTAGCTCTGTGGTTCTGCCTCCTACCTCGAAAGCACAAGGTCCCAAGTTCGATCCCCAGTACCCAGAGGAGAAACATCTTGGCAGTGCAGACTTAGTGAAATTATCACTAAATTGTGTTGAAATAATTCAAAGTCTGCCAATGACTTCTCTTCTGACTCTCATGTGTAATTATCTGACACCTTCCTTTCCCATGTACACACATAACCTGTGGGGCTCTACTGAAGTGAGCGTTCCTGTCTGCTTAGTCTTAATATCTGCAGAATTGTTCTGTGCTGCCTGAGCTAGACTGTGGGAGTCTGCTCCTAGCAGATCTACTTCTGATGCCCACAAAAATTGGGTTGCTGGTATTGTAAAGCTAAGATCAAGAACCTGAGCAGAGCTGACTTCACCTAGGTACTTTATAAGGATTCTTTCAAAACAGCTGGCAGGCCTTCCCCAAAAGGCACTATTGTTTGCTGAGGGTGTTTTTGTTTTGGTCTGGGGTTTTTTTGTTGTTGTTGTTTTTTGGTACCGGGGATCGAACTCAGATCCTTGCGCTTACACAGCAGGCAGTGAAACCACTGAGCTAAATCCCCAGCCCCTTGGTCTGTTTTGTTTGCAGTTAAAATTATACCATCAATAGGACTTGGAGCAATAGAATAAAATGAAATAAAAGAGGCACATGAGGGAAAATCTTACAAAGCTGTTTACCTGGATCTCCCCAAATCCCTTTCTGTATCTCAGTGCCTTTCCCTCTTTTTAAATTCTTTTTAATTCCCTGAAATGCCTTTCTTGGATCTTCTTGTTCTTCTTGGCTCCCAAGGCACCTAACAAGGAGGCCCAGCCATGAAACACAGGAGCTGCTATGTAGAATCAAGGTCATTTGTAAATTGGATGTTAAATTCTCACTGAAAGATTTTCTTCTTTTTTTTTTTTTTTTTTGGTACCAGGGATCGAACTCGGGACTTTGCGCTTTCGAGGCAGGTGGCGGAATCACTGAGCTAAATCCCCAGCCTCTGATTTTCTTCTTTTCCTATCCTTTCTAAACATTTATGGGACCAGAGATTTAGCTCAGTGGTTCCACCACCTGCCTCGAAAGCGCAAAGTCCCGAGTTCGATCCCTGGTACCAAAAAAAAAAAAATTTATGACCACAAGCTTTTCAGCATCATCCAGTGTTCTGAGCCCAGTTACTTGCCAATGCTAATTCTCAAATGGCAACTTCCTGGTTAGTTCTGTAAGATAAAATTCACAGAGTAGACTATAGTGTAAAACAGTATTAAGTCTACTCTCTTTACTCTGAGTATCTTTAAATAGTTAATGATTATGGTGATGGTGATAGAAATAATGGTAATGATATTAGAATCTATTTGATTGATTGATTTTATTAATTCTGATGGATGTTTTCATTGTATTCAAGCCCCTTACAACCCTTGATATAGGCTGTATCTTAAACTAGTTCAGTGCCAATGAACTTGGCTTTTCATCTCCTACTGAATTATGTCCTTGGTATACAATTTATTGGTAAGACAAGTAGGAAGAATTAATCCTATAATAAAATGGTTTTCCTAAAAACAAGAGTTTGGAACAATGAACTTTTAAACATAAAAATTGCCTATCTTTATTAGTTAACATTTACTATGGAAGCATCCAAGTGAATCTTCTTGATTCCCTGCTCTTCCCCAAAAAGCCTATTATAATTGTAGAAGTAGAATATTTTATAACTTCTATTCACCTCTTTTAAAATCTCTAATTTGGGACTAGAGTACTTACCTAGTATGAGTGAGGCTCTGGGTCCAAA